CGTACATTTAGTAACTTGTGACGAACACATAAAGAGTATGTCTTTAATATTTAAAAAAAAATGTTGCTTACTCTGATGTCTGACTGGTGGAGAAAGCCTTAAGGCATTACGTCGGCCATTTTTGTTTGTATTATGACAGTAAGCAGTAAATATATATAATAAAATATAACTTACTATTACAATAATAATAATAATTTTTTTTCCTTTTACAAAAGCCTTGTTAACAAAATGATCGATTGGAGTCCCTATTCAAGCAAATATAGCCTGTATTTGGAGGCTCCGCTCTTCCTTAACTAATAATATAATTTACAAAATGCAGTATGGTTACAGCAATGCCAAATGAACATGCAAAAACAAAAAGAAAGAATGAACCGAATTGAAACAAACAATAAAGAATTGTCTACAGTAAATTTTTACTACACAAAATTCAACGCGGTCAAGATTTCAGGCGGGATGGATCAAGCAGATTAATGCTAAGAATATATTATAACAATTTCTAAGTTTTAATTACTTTACTCTCTAGATAGAACGACGCCTTGTAGACACTGCGATAAAACCAGACCAGGTTTTATATACTTGTGTGCGTGACATGCAACACAAAATACGCGAATCTTGTATCATTTTTGTCTTGGTGCGCATGTGTAAGATACCAGGTCAGGCCACATTCGGGGTGCTTCGCCAGAAATCTCCCCGTGTGGTTGGTACATTTCATGTCCTGTGGCTTAAGCCTAGGGACCGGAAATGTGCTAGTCCGGTGCGCTCTGGACAACTACGTCTGAGGTATCCGCGAGGGTACTTAATGCGTAGGCTAATAGTGTGGTGCGAGGCCGGGGGCCGAGGGCCGCCGCCTTCTTCGGAGGGTGGGGCTACGAGTAAGAAAACCTTTCTAAAAAATTACCCTGGTGAGTCTCGGCTGGCGTCCCGGGGAGCCTGGGTAGCGGTAGTCGAGACTGTTGGAGGGGCGAAGACGTCTGAGTGGTAAGGGCGGTTGCGACGTGTACTCCACGTCGCCTCCGGCTGACCCGTTACCCCGCACGTGGTGCGGAGCCGGGGGCCGCCACCCTTTGGGGTGACAGGACGACAACCTCATCAAAACAATACCTAGTGATGAAGGCCAGGGTGGGGTTCCCTCGCCCGGAAGAGGAAAAAATTGAATGAAACTGTCGTCTATTGTTAAGAGTTTGTTATGCGCTCCCGTTGACGCCGGGCGCTCTGGGGTAGCTGGGCTTTTACCAGCGGCTCATGCGCTCCGGCTGGCCACCGGCGCTGCGGGATTACCGGGACCCACAGTGGTAAGTTGGTTACCGACGCGTTAGAAGGAGATTATCAGGAAACAGGCATCCTGCGCCTTAGAGGCGGCGGGGATAGTGAGCATAGTGAGGATGAGGTGGGCTTAACACCGACGCCCCCCAAGGTGGATACAGCCCGCAGGAGAAAGGTTAAGCATAAAGCTTCCACAGTTTTCTACAAGGGGTCCAACTCAATAAGAGATTGAGTCAGGAATGAGAATATGGACACCCTCACGGCGGAAGAGATCAGGTTTGCGGTCACCCAGCACCTTGACTATATTGACGGGTTCACAGAAAAGAAATTTATGGGCTACCAGTACATCAAGACGGTCCTGAAGGCGACACGCCAGATACTGATATACATGGAGGTGGCCCTGCGGAGGACAGAGGCGGCGGAAAGACTGGAAAAGGTGGAGAAGGAGAACCACCGCTCCAAGAGGAGAACACAAAAATGAAGGCGGAGATGGCGATCATGCGGAAGGAGCTGGAGTCGTTGAGAAGATTGGCGAAGGAGAGAGTACACCCAGCGCGTCCATCAACCTCACAGTGAATGCCGCTGGAGGCCGTCGAGGAGCTGAAACGATCCCTTAAGTTGTCCATAGGGAGGATGGTCAGCACTAGGCTGGCTTCCCTGGAGGAGAGACTTCTGCCGCCGAAGAAACTCAGACCACCGTTGGCGGCGAACCGGCAGGGTGCGGAGGTTAAGAAGAAGGAGACGACCACAGCAGAAAGACCTGGAGTGCTGTGGTTAGGAAGAAGGGGAAAAAGGGTGCAGGGTCAGGTGTGTCGGATAGAGCCTCGCTCGGGTGAGAGTCTTAGGCCCGCCGCCTACGCATTGCTACAAATGTACGGGTAGGGGTCATGCTGCCACTAACTGCCCATCTAAGGTGGACCGCAGCAATCTGTGCTTCATATTTTTAGTACACTTAACTGTTAAATAGAAGCAAGTCATTTGGTCAAAAGTAGCATACTTTTTATAAAACATTGATGACCTAGTTACTAGGTATTAGATATTACATAGTTATTTACTAGGTACTAGTACTAGGTACTAGTAAATAACTATGTATATAGTGCTAAAAGAAAAGTAGAAACAAAAAAAAAGGATTAAAGGTCTGTGTTCTATATCTCTCACTCATCCCATTTCATCGGTAAAAGTACTCAGTTTTAGTTATATAGTACGCCCATGGGTATGAGACTATGAAGCTCCTTTTAAGGTTTTCAATAAAATACTTTTTTTTGATATTCAGTCCAGTTTTTGAGATGAACAAATTTATATCGATATAAAAAAAAAAACTTTTCTCCATCGCACGCAATCGGTAAATATTTCGATTACACCATACTTACTTTTTTGGGGAAGTTTGTAACGAGACATTGACATTACTTTGAAAATATCAAGATGGAGTCATATTTTTTTTAAATAATACGATGGCATAGTTTTTTTAAGGTGTATAATGAGTTACTTACCGATGGTAACTGAGTTTGTTGGTTGTTTTTGTGCGTCCTTTATGATTTCAGCAAACTTTTATGGCGCATCTCGGGATTTCAAAGCAATAATTTTAACACAAAACTCTGAAATTGACGTGCGTATTGCTCGGAGTTACATTGAACACTTAGTGACGGGAAACGTCTTAGAGTCAAGCATTTGGCTGATATTTATTTTCAACTTCATCTGCGCTGCTACGCTCTATTTAGGAGTAAATAATCAAAGTTTCTTCTAAGTAGTTTTTTCATTTACAAGGTCTTTTATGCTGGCGCTTCGAATGGCTATTTGTATTTTCCTTGTCTGGATTTTGCTGCGGCATATTGCGGCCATTGTGGCGGGTGTCAGTGGCCATGTGAGGGTCGCGAGTACCAAGTGCCGTTCGCAATAATTAAGACAATATTTGATATAATAATAAAAAGATATCAATGACAATGTGAACAGTATTTTTTATCCCAGATTAATAAAAAAAGGACATAATACAACTCTATAGGCGAAGGCCCCCATACATATACATTATGTTTGCGTTATGTAGAACAACTCGGTCACTACGCGGTAAGAAGGGCTATATTGCAGCGAAGTAAATGGGGAATTTTGATCATCAGGTTGCAAAAATATGGCTAGTGGATAGTTCAGGTGTGATAATTCTACTGACTCGACTGAGAGGAGCTCAATGGCAGGGTTGGTTAGCGCATTCGGCTGCGATCGTTAAAGTTAAGCAACTTTCGTAGTGGTCGGTCATTGGATGGATGACCAAAAATCTTCTATCTCGAGTTCCTCCGTGCTTCGGAAGGCACAGTCGTTAGCACCCGCCAATCCGTACTGGGCCCGAGTGGTGGGTCATGGAACAATCTCCCTATTCTATCCATAGGGAAGGCCTGGGCCCCAGCAGTGGGGACATTAAAAGGCTGATGATGATGATGAATTTTATGTTGTTATAGTCTCGTCTGCTGCCTGGTCCGCGTGGATTTTTTTCTAGTTATCTTTAGATTTAAACATCAAGTAGTTACATGCATAAAAAATCAAAATTATAACTTGTTATAATAATATATAATAAAATGTAACACTATCAAAAATTATACTTTTTAAATAAATTATAAGGCACTTGCTTATTTTTAATCAACAGTCACTTTTCAGAAATTAGTATTGCATTTTAGTTATTGATCTACTACGATTGATACCTATATTAAAATTTATAACAGTTAAAATATTCCTAATGCGCAGTGTCAATACATCAAACAATGCACAATTATTCTTGCAAGAACAAAAAAAAATAGATGCTCATTTCTTTGTCGCTCTACTCATGAGTGGAATTTTTTGCACACGCACGTCTTCCCTTCTTCCAATAATCTTGAGAGAATCCTTGAAAAGAGGCGTAAAGAAGCATTTCTGTTAGCCGGCAAAGTTAGTTAAGTAAGTTAGTTAAAGTAGCAGTGCATAACTACTTTACCAGCTATCTTCGCGTCCGGAAATTACCACCACTTAACATCAGGTGGGGTACAGTCACTGACTACTTAGCTAGAAATAAAATGAAATAAAAAAGACCTTGATAACTGTTTTACATAATATATCTAAGTTTTTGTTCCTTTACAGGTTCCGATCTCAAGAGTACCGTTGTATCTAATACCTACATTCGTTTACAATGCCTATTTTAATTACGTATGTAATTCCATTTCCAAGTGTTCCAAGAGCAGTCTAAATTAGAATCTCGATAATTACATTAGAAACTGCGTACCAAACAAATGAATATTTCCGTGATGTTCTGTGACTTAAACATGCGTGATTTAAAAGTGGTTAAATCTAGAAGAGCTGGAATAGAAATACACCATGGCACTTCAAACTCATTGTAGCTTTATTTATCGTTATACATACCACGACAATAATTTGTACTGTTCACAAAAAAAATTTCGAAACAAAATTTATTTACAAAATATAAATTTGCGATGGTAATATGTAAAAATATTACGAAAATTACCTTTTTTTTCACGTAAAAGTCGTATTTTTCAGACGTGAAGACATTTATGGGCTATTGAATTGTGCTGCCAAGCATATTAACACCTATATTGTCTTGTTTATAATAAAATATAGGTATGCCGTTGTAAAAGCGCGGTTGAAACACACAATAGCACACCAGCTGTGAAAACATAGAAGAGCACACGTTAATATTCGGATATTTATAGGATTCTCAACTTTAAAGCGATTCGAGAAAGAACCATCGGAGGGAAGAAATCTATGGGTTTGCACAAGTGCTCAGTGAAATTTCAGTTGAGCGATGAGTGGTGGATACGTTTACGTTGAGCCAGTCTGTAGTTTAGTGTCACAGAGGCGGGACGTGTGGTCGCAATTTACAAATTGAGACGAAAACTTGTGTAAACAATGACAACATCAAAGTTCAGTTTTCCATGAAAAGTTAAAATGTTTCAGTGTTATATAGTTTATTCTTAGTATCGACAAAGTGAACAGTGACGTTTAAAGTGACTTTTGAACTAATATCCAAAGATTGCAGTGTGTTAATAACTTTAATTAAACTTAATTTTCCACTGAAGCCTGTTAATTGGTAAGTTGGAACGTTTATATTTAGACTTAATGTTATGGAAATCACGTCCATACTCTGAGGAAATGATGGTACTTAACTTAATTGAACAACTTTTTTATTTTTAATTGATGTTAAAAAACTTTAAGAATTTCCTCATTGTAATAAATTATATTTCCAATTGATACAAAAATACATTTTTATTATATACATAATAATATGCAAATTACTATCGATAAATTAATGTTTGAGTAAATTTCAATATGTTTGGGTTTTAATGCGTGAATAATATTTAATATTAATTAGAGATAATTTTCTTTACTAATAAAATATGAAGTAACATATTTGTTGGTATTTTATCGATCTACAGTCAGTAGCACATCATATTGGCACATGATGTCAATAATTCTTAATTAAATTATAAAACTTACGCCAAGAATTAGATTGGGAGACAGTTATTATTTGACAACCGTACGCGTACTCAGAGACGTGAAATAAAATAAATGTAATTTAAAATCACGTTTCGCCTTACTCTATAGTTCAAATCAAATACTTTATTTGTGATACACGGCTTAAAAGTACCATGGGTTTAACACCCATTGTACAGCCGTAACCAGCCCCATTTGGCTTACAAATATATTTTTTGGCAAAAACAATTCAACATAATGTCCATTTCTTAAGTTTTGCTTACATTTTCAACCACACCTTCTATAGTATATGAAACAATTCGCTCACATTGTCAAGAAAATTAAATTCACTAAAATGACAAACAATATTCCGCACTAATACAATGAACAACAACTTTTTTCAAGCAACAAAGTGACAACAATGTACTGAATTATATTTCATTACTAGAGAAGCCCTACCGTTTCACTCGCATTAATTTGAGGGATAAGGGTCGCACTTAAAAGATAGACATACTCTCGCAGACTTTTATAGAAATTTTAAAGGGGACAATTCTGTCTTATACTATTTTTGTACAACTTTTTCCGTTTACGCAGCGCACGCAACGTACTCGTAGCGTAAGGCATAGAGCCTTTACTCTTGGTCGAAAATGCACTATCCAACACAAAAAAAATGTTTTTCCAATATTACCAGTAGTTTTTGAGATCAGCGCGTTAAACTAAAAAAACATACTCTACCCCTTATTTTAAAAACGCGGACTATAGTTATTATTGGTTAAACCTGGTGTTGTCGCTGGTCTCTTTTTAGAAAACATAAGTGACAGCATCAATTTTAACTTTAGTCTACGTTTTGTAATAAGGCGGTATAGCTTTAAAATAGTAGTATAATGTTGATTGAGATCTTTGAGTCGGGCCCTTGATATTTTTGTCACTAATCCAATATATAGTTTAAATTCATAATTTACTCACCACAGTTAAATATAAGAAAATTGTTTTCCTAATTTAATATTTATAGGGGATTTTCAGTTGGTAAAGGCGGCTTAACGTGCATTTTGAAACACGGTAGAGCTCATAAAAAAATTTGAGCATCCCTTTAATAAAAGTCATTACAAACTTATTTAACTTCTTCAATCACAAATTGACCAAGCTATTTTCACGTTTATGAAATTTTCATTCTTGACAAAATTTTTGGCCAAAAACCGTATTTATTACTAACTCTATTACTGTCTAACAAAATGTATGTTTTCCAATTACGTGTTCTTCCAGTGATTAAACATTTAGATTATGCGTGTTTAAAATTTATTTGTTCGCCTGAGAGGGAGGTCTTTTTAATCAACGGGTGTTGACTGTTGAATGAGTGGATTTACATATTGATTGTTTAGATTCAAACCATTAATTGTTCGGATTCAAACAATTAATTGTTTGATTTCTGGTTTTATGATAACTTTATGTTTTATCACACCTGTTACATATTATCGAAAATAAATATCGTACCGTTTACGATACCTAACTATTAGTTAGCGATTCTATGTTTAAACTACATATGTTTGTGTGTAAAATGAAAAACTTAAGAAGATTATTTTTCAGTAAATTTTCTAAGGATTAAAAAAAATGCAGTTCAATGCTTGAAAAAATAAATAAAACCTTTACTTTTGTTTAGACAGTTTTATTTGACCCTACTTTTTTACATCCAGTATATTTATATGCGTTCTGTTTCGTCCGTTTCTTTTATCATTTGAAATGTTGGTTTTCCGAACATGTTGTCCTACGATATATCTCTGACAATGGTAATGTGAACTGTCAATTTGGTTGGCATAATAGCAATTTCTTTTTTATGGGCAATTTTAGAAGGTCCTTGTGGTTGTTTTCTTTTTACTCGATTTTGCATTGTTGTTTTTCCTCAATAGGATTTATGAATGATAATGATGATATATGTATGTTGTTTTTCCTGATACTATTACTACAGAGTAACGCTTTTAATTATTATCTTTGATTATAGACTTGAACGTAATAATGTGTTCTTTTTAGGGTTCCTTACCTCAATCGACATAAACGGAACCCTTATATGATCGCTCAGTTGTCCGTCTGTCTATATATACATAATATGTATGTGTTTTTTGTTTCACATTTCACGATTTTCTACTCTCGGTTGTGGCATTCGATTTTAAAAAAATGAAAAAAATAATTAGCAGTTCTATTTATTATTAAAAATAAAATGATCTCTCCTCTCAGTAAAATATCCTATCTTCAATGTTTAATATACTTTCCTACCGTGTGGCAAGACCGTGGGACGGCGCGGCGGCGTGTATATATATATTATTGTCATTAACTCTTGATATGCACATGTAGTCACATTAATAATGATTTTCTTTAAAAGGTTACTTAATTCACTTAATAAAACACATTACTGTTCTTAATCAAATAAAACCTAATGCAACAAATAATATATACTCTTGTTAACGTTGTTAATTTCGTTTATTGATGATTTTTATCTTTAATATTATATTTCACAGATTCTAAAATTACATAAGTGGGATTTAAGAATGTCGCATACAGTGTGCATTGTTAAGAGCCGAGAAAACTACGAGTGACCACGACTAATTTAGCTTTGTATTCAACAATAAAAGGAAACAAATACGTAGGAACAAACACAACCAACTATGGCTACTTACAGAATGAATATTCATTGGAGTTGAAGTAAAACCACCGTAAATAGACGTATATACCAAAGGCGAGTGATGTAATTTCCCACTGCCGCCATCCCTAAGGTCTCAGGATTGATTCCCAAGAGCCCCATATTCAATAGAATATACAAGGATGACATCGGAACAATATATAATTTTACGCTATTAAGTGTGTGTCCTATTACATGAATTTGGATAAGTTGAATTTATACAGAATATAAATATTTCTATTACAAGTATATCATCATTATATCAGCCGGCATCAATATATCACATAAGGTTCTACACATCGATCCGTCCTGCGCTAGTTTCATCCAGCAGGATCTTCTCTACATCGTCGATTGTTTGACGACCTCCGTGGCTCGAGTGGTATGTACGTCTGTTTTCAAAACGCCGCCTACCCAGAGAGATCCCGAGTTCGAATCGCGGTGAAGCAAATGCATGTTTGTGTGATAAATATGAGCATTTGTACCTCAGTCATTAATGTTTATATAAATTTCTAAATAAAAATATACTTATACAATATATCAGTGTATAGCCTTACAGTGCTTAGTTTGGGGCTAGGCTTATTGTTACGTGTGTGTGTTTCCGCGCAGCCATCAGTTCTCCTTGCTACATATCATGCCCACTGCCAGTTCAGCAGGACAATCCTTTGGGTTCTTTTATAAGGATTTACTCATTTCTGATACTACCGCACAGGGAAGCAGGAAAGGGTAGCTTTAACAACAAATAATAAAAACAAAATGAAATACGGCTCTTCTTAAAAGACATATTTTATTCAGGCCTAGCAATCGCTTCTATTCAACTTTTAAATCTTGCGCAATGGCATGAAACCAAATTTCGGAAAAATATCCGGACACTCACATGAACTACAATACAAGTGATTTTAACTATTGATGTTAATGTCACCAAAATATATTTGAAACTATCCTGATCATTTATTGGAAAAATTAATATTCATAAAATTATGTTTATTAAAATATATCGACGATATTAATGTTTAACAAATACCAACGTTGTTCCAAATATTTTGTTAAAATGACAATTTATTAATAAGCTGACATTTAAAGAGTTTGATGTACAATCGAACACAATGATTCATGACCCATTTGACCGATAAATTGCTTAAAAATGTCAAAACAGATAAGTTCTCTTCTATAGGGAACACGGACCTGAAAGAAAGACGGACGTAACATCAAACTGAAATGATATAAAGCATGCAAGGTCCTACAATTTCGTTTGTTGAACAGTACCTACACTCACACAAAAGCACCAGGTCACACAATTCGCTGCCATTTGACTCTGCGTGACAGCACCAGTAACACGTTTAATTGCTCCGACGAAATTTTTAAAATACGCCGTCTTGTGTGATGTAATCATGTAAGAACCACAGGAGTAAACTTAAAAAGCCAAAAGTAATCACCTACCATGCATAAGTAATAACGAATCGTCATAATTTTTCTTAATTATATTTCATTTAGTGTGATGAAAATTCAAAACAAAAATACAACTGTGTGGCTACTTTTTTTAAGGTAAAATTTTCCTAAAATTGGGGAAATTTGTATTTCATGCATTTATAATTCGGTAAGACAAGATTTCGTAACTTGTTAGGGTTCCGTATTCCAAACGGAAAAGAACAGAACCAATATTATTCATATAAAATTACTCTTTCCTCCTTTTTATGATTACTGGGTTTTAGTTATTCGAAACCGCAGACGAGACAACAATTGGATCCCATCATCTGCCAGTACCTATTGTGTGCAGTGCATATTTTGATGATGTAGATTTTATAACTACAGTTAAGGGGTTACGTTGTTCGGGTCCGTACGCAATCTGCGCGATTAAAAATCTATAGAATATTTCTTCTAAAAAATAAAAACAACTCTATTATTGTTTTTAGACACTACTCAAATCTGCATGTTCCGCTGTCCGGGTG